CAACTAGATTCATCCCAACTAGATTTATCCCAACTAGATTCATCCCAACTAGATTCATCCCAACTAGATTCATCCCAAGTTTGTTCCTTGAATACTGTTTATTTCCATCACCATAGATGAAGATACAATAAAAAATCAAGGGAACTAAAAATCCAAAATAAGTAAGTCTTGTTATTTGAACCAAGTCATAACTATATACATATACATACTATAAAAAATGCAGCTAGGAAAAAATTGATTCCTGTTTTCCCCGTTAAATTTTGTTGTACCTTGTGAGGTCTTTAAAGAAAATGTCCTGAATGATGTGAGTTATACATGAGCAATTAGAGTTTGACCACAGACATTCCACAATGGAAACCATTTAAAACTCAGTCCAATGGGCCTTTAAGAATTCATTCAGTATGATAACACACTAGCTAGCTCTCATGCCCTTGGTTCCTCTATCAGCGTCATTTCCGTCCAGGCGCTCTGGCAGCACCCCTGATTTGATTTGCCTTGCATTTATTTTCTATTTCTGACTCCTCGTTTTCTAATTCTGTGCCATTGCTTCCATAAATTGATCTAAATTTGTCAGCAATCAGAAAACCTCCTGGGTTTAGCACTCACACGAGATCAATATTCAACGGAGAGAGAAAGGGGGCCTGGGAGGACTCGAACGTGATTGTACATGAAACAATGTTTGTTTATTAATACCAATACATACTTATCAGAACAGAAATTAATTCATTTGCTCTATTTATTCAAATGGGTAATGATTATACATGAGGAAATTATAATTTTCTGGTCAAACTGTAAGCAGATAAAATTGTAGGCAAAATGCATGGTGCATTAGAAACATTGATAAAGAGAGAATTTATAAGGATATAAAATATTTATTCTTATTTTGATCATTCTTTCAAGGCAAAATTCCTTACGGATGTGGTCTGATAAATCTGATAAACAATGTTTTTATTTTCATCTCAGTAAATTCATTTGAAGGGGGGGGGGGGGGGGGGGGGGTGAATTCCTTTTTATTTTAAATAAAAAATCCCTAAAAGGAATATGATGATGATGTTATATGATATGGTAATCCTTATTTTGTATGTTGATGACCAGAAGGAAACAAACCCATGCTCTAAAATGTAAACATTGAGTTAGTGCCTTTGTGGATTTTTAGCATTTTGATACTTCTTTGATGATGGCTAAAGGTGATGTAAAAACAATATTACATGTTGAATGAATACAAGTTAGAGACATTTTAATATATTTTTCTTGTCCCCAAAGATAAGGTCTAATTTTGTCACAAATGGTATTATACACAATAGACCGGCAATGGCCATTTAGGATAGTATTAAATACCACCAGCCTTGTACGAAGTGTACACCATATCACAATTGCCATACCATGTGTGTAATATGCATTTTCTTGCCAACTGGAGCAATGCATATTGCTCATAAATAATGCCAGAAGAAATCACAACAAGAGAAATAAAAGAGAGAGATAGATAGTCAGTTCTCTTGCCTGGATTTTATACAGCACAGTCGTTTCCATTACCTGCAACCTAAAAGCGAGTTAAAATGTAATTGGCACATCCGGCAACAATCTGATTAAAATACATTACCAGGGTAAAGAGGAAAAAATATCTGGGACATCTCTTCTCCCCATTCCTCTCTCTCTCTCTCTCTCTCTCTCTCTCTCTGTCTGTCTGTCTGTCTCTCTCCCTCTCTCTCCCTCCCTCCCTCTGTCTGTTTGTCTGTCTGTCTCTCTCTCTCTGTCTGTCTGTCTGTCCCTTGATCATCCTTGCTCCTTGTTGATCCCTTATGGTGCCCAGAGTGACCTCTGTGACCCGGGCTGACTCCTTCTGTATTCAGCTAGATCTGCTTAATATGTGCATATAGATGAGTGCTCAAGGGAAGACCAATGCATGCATTTGCTGACGGCTTCCGGTTACAAGGGCCCCTTGCATTTAAGCTGGCTGTTGCTAGCGCTGGCTGCTGCAGTACCCCTCCCGGGGATAGTATTGAGCCTCTTAGCCTGCCCCGACAACGACTACTATGTAGAAGATCAGACCAAGGCAAGGAAACTATGTTTTAAGGAATATGAAGAATCAATTTGAAAAACTGGTACTACTATAGAGCTGAAAAGAGAGGGAGAGAACATGAAATAATGTCCCATTATCATATTTTACATAGTGCTTTTTATTCATTGTGGGATTCTTGAATTTTCATTTATATTTGTTAATTTTTGTAGTTATAATTTAATATGTTATTGTGTCAGGATGGTTGTCATTTTACAAATTATTTTCTTGAAACCCAATATGGGATTTTTGAAAGAGTATGTTTTTAAGCCATCAAATTTAAGAATTCTAAAACTTGCATCACTTATTTTTATTGTTATTTTTCTTTTCAACTGAGTTCAATCATCTTTATCTTTATAAACTGGCAAAGGAACAATTCATGAAAACCGCATCAATTTTCTTGAGATACTTGCTCGTCACATTAAATATATTGGATGGGAAAGATAATCTTTTTTCATTTGTGATGAAAAATTTCAAGAATATTGAAGAAAATAATTTTGTGAGAACTTAATCTTATGAAGATGTGGAAGTATTAGAATTTAGTATTCGGTGCTCAATGTTGAAATTTTAAGAACAGATCTTCATTCCATACTTCCTGTTTAAAGGTAAAGTCACCTCTTTCCTCTCTCCATGACCAGTGTGTGGGTAGATCATATGTATTATTTTCCTGTATTTTTATGTAACAGATTTTACATTTTAAACTTTGGTGAACATGTAGTATTCCGTTTTTCCCTTAACACACAATTCCCTAGACAGGATGCATATATACATAAAAGGCACATAGACAAGAGCTTAAGGCATGAGGCCTTGTTGTGCTGACCTGTATGTGGAGTAAAAAAAAAAAGGGGGATGTTTTTCTCTTAAATGATTGTCACCTGATTCCTTTTTGGGACATTTTGAATAGGAAGGATATGTTTCATAGTGAATGTTGGTAAATGTACATTTACTTCTGTTCTAGTGATTCATGCGTGATTTAAGCAATGTTTATTATCCTTCTGACACTATCATGTTCTTTCCTCTCTCTTTCTTTCTCTCTCTCTCTATCTCTATCTCTCTCTCTCCTCCCCCTCTCCCCCTCTTTCTCTCGCTCTCTCTCTCTCTCTCTCTCTCCTCCCCCTCTCTCTCTCTCCTCCCCCTCTCTCTCTCCTCCCTCCTCTCTCTCTCTCTCTTACTCTCTCTAAACTATACATATTCTTTTCCAAACATTCTCTTTTGCTCCTCTTTCAGTTCTTCTGTCACTCTTTCTTCATATCTGTCTCTCTGTTTTCCTTCTCCCTTTCTTTGCATCTTTCATTCTCCCTCCCTCCCTCTCTCTTCCACCCTTCCATTTTTGCTCAATATTCTCTCAATAATGATAAAAATCTGTTACTCCTTACCACAATACTTTTAATCTCTTTGTCTTTTTTCTAGTACTATATTGTCTCTCTCCACTCCCACTACCTGTTTATTTCTCAATGTTTCTCTTCTCACATTCTCCCTTTCAATCTCTTTCTCTTCTCTCTCTAGCTCTCCACCTCTTATACCTCCTCACTCTCTCTCTCTCTCTCTCTCTCTCTAGTTATTGACCTCCTCTCTCTGTCTGTTTGTCTGTCCCTTTTTCTTTCTCTCTCTCTCTATCTCTATATCTATCTCATTTCCTCTTGCATCCACCAATTGTTGCTTTCCGTTTTGTTTGGTCTGTACACATGAGCATTGACCAAGCAATGCCATTACATCATTGCTAGAGTAAACTTACCTTGCTCTGGCCTACCATCACTGTTTTAAATGTCACTCATGATGGCATTTGCATTTGAAGACAAAGAAAGTAATATCATGTTACCATGATTATAATCTCAAGAACAAATGGTTATCAAAAACCTTGGTCATTTATCATATCCCAGCTCCTGTATTCTTGCATTTTCATGAAATATTAGGCCTCTTATAAGATACAAGTCTTTCATGTAAACAAAAATGCAATTTTGCGTAATTCAGTGAAAATAACAACTGTGTGTGAAATGTAGTGCTGAAAGAATGAGCCTGAAAAATTCACCCTACTCCCTCCTCTTCACTTAGTGTCATTCCTAACAAGTACCATGTTCCTATGTATTTTCATTACATGTTGATGGATATCTTGATACAAATTTAAACAAATTCAATTCTACTTTTTGCTCTGAATAAGTCTATGTTTTCAGAATGCTTAAATTTGGAATGCTTAAATTTGGAATATCATGTCAAATTATGGCTCAGCACTTGCTGTGTAAAGCTTGCCCAATCATAGATTACAAGCATTCCCTAGAAGTTCTATATTATTTATTATATTTCTTCAATAACATCTTCTCCAAACATTTTTACATCATTACAAAATGATTGATCTCTTTTCAAACTACATGTATACCTAAATATTAGGAAAGGAAGTTAGACAAATGATGAGGTATCAGGATGATTTACTGATTAATTGCATAAACCTCATACACCAGCAAGATATAGAGCAGAGTGCTCAATTAATTCTTCCCTATTAAGGTGCTACATGTAGTTAATTGCATCCCTAATGAATTCTAAGTGCCTCTGCTATCAGCTTGCATAAATTAAGCAGTTAATTAGTTTCGCGTGCAATGTAACACATTTATCAGTAAATTGAAACCAGAATACAATTAACAGTTTCAGTTCCACAGAAACTATTAAAACAAATATAACACTTGCACAAGTTAATTATTATAAAATATGTAGGAAATTGTTAATATATAGAACTCTTTAAAGTGAAGTTAATTTTTCATGTCAAATATATTGAAATGTTAGGTGAAATAATCCACTGACAGATAAAGTCAAGGCAAATTGAAATATTCTCCAATGCTTACTTCCTGCTTGAACTCTGTCATAACATTCTTCAAAATCAGAGAAATACATGGAAGAGTATTCAATAATGTTTTTATTTTTGTTAATGATGGCTGTATTCTATTTCTTTCAGTTCTGGTACTTTTCTATTCACTACCGTCATGATAGTCAGAGGCAGTATGATCTACGCTGTGATACAGAGGGTGAAGTCAATGCATGGGTTGATGCTATCAAACACTGCAAGTAAGTCATGAGATCAAAACACTCTCAACTACCATAATCCCTCGAAGCATATGTTGAGTCTTGTATACTTGGGTGTAGAGACTGGAAGCTTCGCTTATTTGTCCATCAGAATCAGAATCAGAATCAGTAGAGACTGGTTTACCGTGTGTTCTTCATTTATATGAGGGAAAATCTGACCACACCTTCTTAAACTATTACACATGACTCAAAAGTGCTAAAAAGAGGAGATACAATGTCATTTACAATAAATTTCATTTGCCATTTTGGTGATTCATTTTTTCAATCTTTCTCAAAGTTGGGCGTTCTTGTATTTGTATAAACTTGTTCATAGGTCAAATCAATTTGCAGGTTGTAACCATGTACAATGTTCAACAAGCGTTGTGTTAATGTGATGAAAAGAGGTTTTAAAAAGAGATTAAGCCAAGGGAAAAGAATTAGGAGAAAAAATTAAAGGCAAAAGAGATAGAAGAGACTAAGTCAGGAGGTAAAAAGAGATCGCGAGATTTACAGACGGACAGAAAAACAGACAAACACAGCTACATATGGAAAGGAAAAATGATGAAGAAGGAGAGCCATAACCTAAGCTTGGCACTCTGTTCATAGTTTAGGTTTCCTGATGACCCGTCCTGGTTTTCCTCAGCACCCGTCTAGTGCAGGCAGGCAGGCAGGCAGACTGCTTGATTCCCTATTTACAATCTCCATCAAATACAATGTAGCAAGTGGCATTTGATTCTCTCGATCCTTGGCTGCATGCATGTATGTACGTTGTGAGCTAGGACCCCTTGATAACCAACGAAGTAATACTGCCATGCTTCTCATGGGAGCCCCTCCATCAAGATGCAATGTGATATTTAAAGAGACTTCCCTAGCTCTTCCTCTCCTAGCTCTCCTCACTCATCTCTACTCTGAGTATTGTATGCATGTAAGGTTTTGGCCATCTTTTGTGCATCTCATTCCCATGGCTTACACTGCTTCATTACCTTCTCAATGCACTCCTATATAGTTGTGATTCCTTGTAAGTTTCTCCATTCCTTTATCTTGTAAGACTGCTTTCTATTCATCTCACTAATACAATCTATGAATAGTGCTACAAGTCAATGCTTTTCTGGAACTCAACAGGCATTTTCATTTCTACTTCCTTTTCTAGTCCATTCCGATGCAGCACATAATGGGAAAACTGGATAGATTTTCTCTTCTTTATCAATATTTGTCTCTTTGTGTACGTTTCTGTAATTCTATCATTATCTATTCCTCCATGTGTATATTCTGTGCATATCTATTACTTTGGTTCTTTCTATCTTCTGAAACTCTGCTGGCCTTTTTATTTTACCTTAATTCATTTTCTAACTCCTGTTTGCTGTACGAATTGGAGAATAGAACAAACAATGAACAAAACAGACCTAGAGTGATACGAGGGGTCAGATAAAAGATTTAGGAAAAGAGAGAGTAAAAGAGGGGGAGAAAGAGAGAGTCAATATAAGTTTTAATTGTTTATTAAATATTGTTTTATTGTACCATTGTACCTCTACATATATATGTATATGTTTATTTATTTTGACTACTTTCCTTCCATTTATCCACCCCTATCCCCCTCTCTCTCTCTCACTCACTCTCTCTTTCTCTCTCTCTCTCTCTCTCCCTCTCACTCTCTAAATATCTCCTCTCTCTCTCTCTCTCAATATCTCTTTCTCTTTGTCCCTCTTTCTCTTTCTCTCATTCTCTCTCGATTCATCTTCCTATCATTTTTAATCCCTCTTTTTGTATTTTCCATTTAACCCGTCCCCACCCTTCTCCCTGATCCAATGTTAATCTCCACAGCTTCAATGCCATTCTGCTCCAAAAGGAGGAACTGGAGCAGAAGTATCTTCATCTTCTACAGATCCATGATAGTGAGAAGATAGCAAAGTTTGGTCTTCGTCAGCAATGCCAGGAACTCACAGCAGAAGTGGCCAAACTCAAAACAGAAGTAAGACATTTTTTCATTGATCTTATTCATTCAATTTTATTGGAAAAGGCCCTAAAGTATAGATTAATAATCATGATCATCATTATTTTAAAGTGGCTTTTTTATAAGTGTTGCTTGTATTGGGAAAAAGATGCAGGGGAAAGGGATGATAATGATTGGAGGAGAGAGAGAGAGAGGGGGAGTACAGAGATATAGGGAGAGTAAGCACGAGAGGAGGAGAAAGAAACCAGAAAGAGAAATAGACAAGGACAGCCAGAGGTAGGAGAGAGAGAGAGAGAGAGAGAGAGAGGGTGAGATGGGGAGGAAGAGAGATATATATATATAGAGAGAGAGAGAGAGAGAGAGAGAGTGGGGGGTATGTGTATGTGAAAAGAGAGGGAGGGGAGTACAGATATATAGGGAGAGTAAGCAAGCGAGGAGCAGAAAGAAACCAGAAAGAGAATTAGACAAGGATAGCCAGAGGTAGGAGAAAGAGAGAGAGAGAGAGAGATGGGGAGAAAGAGAGAGAGAGAGAGAGAGAGAGAGAGAGAGGGGGAGGAAGAGAGAGAGGGCAGAGAGCTAGAGGGGGTGGCAAGAGCAAGAAATAGAAGGAGATAGATGGAGCAGTTCTATTATTATGCTGCCTGTTTTGTTCAAGGCTACAAAATTCAAGAAAGCTAAGTTAGAATCTAAGAACAATAATTATATACCACCTTCTCTGTCATTGCTATGTGTCTTTTTGTACATGTAATGTTTTATATTGCTGCCAGGTAACCATTCACTAGATGTGGGTGGAGAGTGGCAAATGCAAATGTGATCTACAGTACAGTGGCATATTTACTAGCACAAGGCACCTTTCATATTATTTTTTGATAGATATGTCAAAATATGAACTTTGAATTCACAAAATCACTAAAGATTTTTGGCCTAAACCACTTTAGCTACCCAAAGAATATATGAAGCATGGTTTCAGTCAGGTTTTACTTTTGATTTATATAATAAATTGATGTACGAGTTTTTAAACATTGTACTGAGCAACAATATATTGCGAGATGGTTTCGCATTATACTGTACTTTATCTTCTAGGGATGAAAGTGACAAAATGAATACATGTACATGAGAAGAGAAAACTTTCTAGTTAAAAATAAAATGTAATTTTACATGTCATATCATATTTATATTCATTAGATTCAAAGCAACAGGTATATGAATGATGAATTCTTTGTCACTTTAAAAAGCACTAAAACCACTTGTTTCATTATGACTTTGTGATCTATTGGCTCTAAGCATGTGATAAATATATTATCAGTATAATACTCTGTGCTAAAGCTACAGATTTATAACTGTACCCTCACACTAACAACAACAGTGAATTGAAATGTCACTATACCATATTGTATGTTGCTATATCAGCTAAACCTGTTGCAAAGGAGAGAAAGGAAGATGTCTGGTTCAATAAAAGGAGCTCCGGAAGATGATGAGGCTGAGGATATCAAAAAGATCAAGAGAGTAAGTCTCTCCTATCATCTTCCTTTGGGATGGACAACTGATGCTTTATCATGCAGCATAAAAGTAAGAGGGCTGGGGTTGGGGTAATTGGAAGATATGATGATTTTGAATTTAAACCTTTTATTCTTCAAATCGCTTTCTTTTAATAAAAGTTTGTACCTCCATTAATACTGGCTTTGATTTTACATTAATTTCAGCTAATACAGCAACTTTCAAACTAGTAATTATAGTTTTTCTATCTTTAGAAGCCTTTGTCTTATGTTTGGTTTTTCTCTTCCTTCAATAATTCATGCATAGTAAAGATGGAATAACTTTGGCCGGTTCCTATACCTCTACCGCTCAATTTGATATAGAAATCATAGATGTAAAATTTCTTTGGGTTTACCATTTCATTATGTGCCATTTTTTCAATGAAAGGTGCAAAGCTTCATACGAGGCTGGCTGTGCCGACGCCGCTGGAAGGCCATCGTTCAGGACTACATTAGATCTCCACATGCAGAGAGCATGCGCAAGCGCAACAGTATTGTCTTCGGTATGATAGAAGGTGAACGAGAGTATGTTGAGCAACTTTCCACGCTTGTCTCGTGCTTTCTGCGCCCTCTCAAGATGGCTGCCAGTGCCAAGAAACCACTCATTTCCCATGAGGACGTCAACTCAATCTTTCTCAACAGGTAAGAATCAGAGTTTCTATTTTATTGAATGTGATATTAATAATAACAAGTGCCAAAACCGAGCACCTTTAATCACAGTCAATCCGATGCTGTATTACAGTAAATTATATGAATTATTCGAACTTGTTCTTGTATTCAAGGTCAAGCTATTCTTGGCAAACTTCTGATTTGATCATTTCAAAGGTTTATGTGATTAGCATGTTGGTACCTAAAAGGCATCATTGACCTTATTTGTGTATGAAGAAGATCAGATGCATAAAAGCTATAACTTATAGACCTAGATGTTTGCTTGAACCATGGCCGTAAATCTGTAATTGATACCTATTGTTCAGGGGGGGGGTGATCTATTCATTCATCCCCCCCCTGAACAATAGGTATTACGTAAGGATTGACGCCCATGGCTTGAACCACAACTCATACAAAGTTGAATGTTTGTATTTGAAGGTTTCCTGATGTAAAATGGCTGTTATTTACAATTTTTTAAAGTTTTGTGTCTCAAAACCTCCCCTAAATTTCTTGTTTAATTCCCAGTAAATATCTTTCCAATTGGATGGGACCTTTATACAAACATATTCATGATGATGAAACTTGAGGATATTTTTAATGCAAAAATGCACAAAGGAAGTTGAAACATCTCTAAATGATTGATAGAAAAGTTTGAAATCAAAATAATCGTAGCTGGGTTACAAAAATAAGATGTATGCTAGAAAATTGTAGATAATTCTGCATGCAATTTCCGGACGCAAGACATTGTAAACACAGGAGAAAGCTGATGCTTCCGGATTTAAAAATCAAGGACGGCAAAAAAAGAACCCTAGGGATATGTTGATTTGTTCTCATGGACACAATTTTCTATATCAAGATATGGGTAGACTCGTGTCTCCTTTAGGCACGGATGAAATGCAAGAAACATTAAATACAGCACATTTAGAACATCTCTTTCCTTGGAAGAGAGAGAAAAGGAGAGATATCCATTCCCATCGGGAGTAGGCACTTCCTGCGAGTTGATCCTGGGAGAGATTTATGAATATTCCAACTTCATAAAGGTGGCAGGATAAGAGAATTTATGAAAAAGAGAAAAAGAGTAGAGGAACAGAGTAAAGGCAGTGTATATAAAACCTGTATCGTTGTAATACCGTGAATATTTCCTCTCATACATAACTCATGTGTGTAGGAGCAACTTCGAAAAAGAGAAGAAGCGAATTAGCTTGCCTGGTACCCGGGGCATGCTAGCAAATATTAAAATTTATGGGTAATGCATAAATTTCCCATCAAGAAAAGAGGAAATCAGCTTGCAACCGTCTGCTAGATGTAGTAAACGGTTCCCCCTTTGATATCATTCTTGCTGGAGTAGCCATAAGATAACAGGTTTGGGAATTGTTTTCCCTTTCCTCCCTGGCTCTCTCTGTCTGTCTGTCTCTCTTTCTCCATCTCTCTCACTCTTTCTCTATCTCTATCTCTCTCTCTCTCTCTGTCTTTCTCTCCGTCTCTTTCACTCTCTCTATCTATCTCTATCTCTTTATTTTAGTCAGTCATTATATCTTGCTTGGCTTTCTGTCCATTACTATCCCTGTCATTGTCTTCCTTTTTTTGCTTTTGCTGTAATTTATGTCCACCCCCCCCCCCCCCTCTCTCTCTATATATATATATCTCTGTCTGTCTCTCTCACTCTATCTATCTCTATCTATCTATCTCTCTATTTATCTCTCTCTCTCTGTCTTTCTCTCTGTCTCTCTCACTGTCTCTATCTATCTCTATCTCGCTATCTATCTCTCTCTCTGTCTTTCTCTCCGTCTCTCTCACTGTCTCTATCTATCTATCTCTCTCTCTGTCTGTCTTTCTCTCCGTCTCTCTCACTGTCTCTATCTATCTCTATCTCTCTATCTACCTCTTTATCTACCTCTCTCTTTATTTTAGTCAGTCATTATATCTTGCTTGGCTTTCTGTCCATTATTATCCCTATCATTGCCTTCCTTTTTTCTGCTTTTGCTGTCATTTATTTCCACCACCCCTCCCCCCTTCTCTCTCCCTCTCTCTCTCTCTCTCTCTTCTTGCATCTATCCCTGCTGTCAATCGCACTATGCTTTTTTTTCTTCTCCTTCTCTTTTTGCCTTTCTATTTCTATCATGGTATCTTTCTTAATATCTCTCTCTTTTCTCTTGGGTGATTTGCATCATGTGAAATTCCAAATTTCCATATCAGTAATTTACTGATGGGCAAATTTCTTTTGATTCTCCTGTAAGTTTTTAGATACAATTTTGTGTGGTGCTCCTTTGGGAAAAAAGGTATTCTAAATCTATTTTCGAGTTCTAACATGTACAAGCATAACTAATACTATTAAAAGTATAAGAATATTCCGGTATATCATAATTAATATCTCAAGGAAACATGATTACTTGTACTATATCAACAAGATTATACTGATCAGGTTGCCTTCACATATTATGCTATTGTGTACTTTGTGTTGAATTGCATACCCACATCTGTTGTAAACTAGGTTACGCTGATCTGCATGACATGATTGATAACTTGTATTACATGTATACTGCTCAATGTGTACTATTCCAGGTTCACAGTATTAGGTCCTTTTTTTTCTGTATACAGTTATATTGCCATGTTTCATTTCATTCATTTTATATAATAAGTAAGAGGCATTATGGAAGATCTTTTTTTTTTCTTTTTTTCTTGATTTTTAAAGTCTAAGGAATTTTTGTCCTAGTTTTGTTCTGCCTTGTTTCTGGTGTTACACTGTTTCATGAAAGTGAGTCAGATTATTATAGTCCAGTTACAGTGTGCAAAGGCCTCTACATGAATCTATTTCAATATATTCATTTGTGAAATATAATTCCATGCATCCCTTTTCCCCTTATACAATTCCTCAAAAATTCTTGAATACATCTTAAATTTCTTGGTAATCAACAATCTATATGTTGCATGAGTAACAAAAAGCAGCTTCTAATGAAGAAATTAATCATGATTTGTACTCATAATCAAGATGTAATGAAAGTGTTGAATATCAGAGACTAGTACAAAATTATGTTAAACATGTCCTTGCACTTCTAAATTATAATATTGTATCAATTAATGTTACTGAAGTCTGGATCTTAGGCTTAATGGTAATTCTCATAGTGCCTTTTTTAATTGCTGCAAAATGGAATAGCATGGGACAACTAGACCTCACAAATAGTAATTACAAATCATCATAAGCTTTTTCTCCTAGATAAACAGTATACCAACATCATCTCTGTATTCTTTGTTTTGTTTATCTATCACAGTGAAACAATATTCTTCTTGCATCAAATCTTCTACAAGGGACTAAGCGCCAGGATGGAACACTGGCCCAAATTGGTCCTTGGTGAGTCAAAACATGATATCAAAAATATTTCAGATTGAAAAAGATAGGTTGTCATTATTTTGTGACCATGCAATCTTCGTCTTATGTGAAACTGTTGTTTGTAACTGCAGTCAAACATGAAATCATAGCCATATCTTTATTAACGCCAGCTTTCTATAGTGGCTACTTGTTCAGATTTTCTAAAAGTAGCCATAAACTGTGTAGAAAGGGCATATCTTTTATCTTCCCCTGATGTGGAACTGTTGATCTACATTTAACTACTAGCAAACATGTTACACATCTATGGAGAGGACCTGTCTATAGTGGTCACGTGTACTGATTCACAGTCATTACATATTAGATAGTTAATATAGAACCTCTTTAGAAAGGTTACCTATACTATCTTCCCCAGATGTGAAACTATTTTTCTAACAACTATTGAACATGTTACATCTCTACCAAGACATCCTGTCTATAGTGGACATACCATTTCTCCCAAAAGTGGTATTTATCATGGCTAAGCCTGTCTAGAAAGGTCAACTGTCTTGCCTTCTTAGAAGTAAATCTATTGTTCTAACTCCTCTTGTTTTGTAATAAGAATCATCTGTCTATGAAGACCATACCGTTGTTACTTGTTTACACCAAGATTAATACATTTCACAGATTGAAACTTTCTAATCTTCCCCTCATATGCTGAAGACTACCTGTCTCTAATGGCTACTATTACCAAAAAGCAAATATTTGTTAACTAGAACCTTTCTAGAAAGGCCACCCATCTTTTCTTCCTCTGATGTAAAACAACCCTTTTTAGGCGAGGCGTCAAAAATAAATATACCAGCCAGCGGCAGCTAACTGCACTTGTGCGTCCTGGCTGCATTTTTTAAATTAGCTCAGCCGGCTACCGCTGGCGGTAGGACCCTCAATTAACTCATGATGTCATCATAATGGTCTCCGAACAAAAGCATGCGCCGGCTGCCGCCTTTCGAATGGAAACCGAGCCTCAGATCCCAGCCTGGCGCAAGCCGGCTGGGCTAATAAGTGAAAAATAATTGCCCCAGCCAGGCTTCGGCCGTAATTGCAGCCTCGATGCGCCAATACGTGAGGCGGCAGCCTGCTGGTATCGATATTTTTGACGCCTCGCCTTACCAGTTATAGCCAAGTTAAGCTTTTTAGAGTGGCCAATATTTTCCTAGATATAATAATGTTCTTAAGCTAGAATCCAGAGAAAGACCAAATTGTTATAATCTTGAGCTAAATTATTGTTCTAACTAGTTATCTCTGGGGGAAGAAAACCTGTCTATAATGACCATATGTTTGCTTTATTATAGAATATGACAGGTTTTTGTAATTACGTGTATTTTCTGTGATGTAAAAACTGTAATTCAAATTTGTTTCAGTGATTACCTCTCTCTAAAGACCATTTATCTGCAGCAGCCACTTACCCTAGAACCTGTGTACACATATGTATTATATTTCTCTGATGAAGCTATTGATTTTACATCAGTCAAACCTATTAGGGCATCTCTTTGTCAAGGCAACTTGTCTATAGCAACCATTTACTCTAGATACTATGTAGTACATGTACCTGTGAGCTTGCAAGAAAGTCCATTGATCTTTCTAAAATGGTAACTTATTACTGTACGTTTATGCTCCGTATTAATAGATCTAATAATAGATCAGGATGAAATATCTTTGAAATTTAAAACCCCACTTATTATGCGTTATTTAATACAATAGGGTAAACAATGGAGTGCTGATTAAAGTACGGGAGTGATGAAAGTATATAACACCCCTTTCTGGTAAAAGTGGTTTAAAACAAGATGTTGAAACAATTTTTTTTTCTCCTGGTACATGCATTATTACATTAAGAAAATATCTATAAATAAAGGTATATTCTCCCAGCTAGGGGGTTAATCGCAATATTTTTCCACACATCTCTGATAGAGAAGAAAATATGCATATCAGATTTACCAGAAGTGAAAAATTTCAACACAAAAAAGATAAGACGTTTCATTGATAATGAAGTTTGTCTTCTCCAATGCGTGCCCTAAGACAGCACGCCTATGAACTGAATGTAACATGAATTCACTACAATGTGCACAGATTTTTATTCAGCATAAATGAGTATACTTTATTTTTAAATTGTTGTAATAATTGGAGGGTAAAACATCCATGACCATCTGCATTGGGTGTAAGACTGTGCCTAGTGTAATATAATGTAGCTACCACCAGATCAGATAGGTCCATACACGTTGAGTATGCTAGGGGGTCATCTAAAGGACGTAGTACATCTCATGTTGCATGCATAGCTATGATAAATGGGCCAGCCAGCCAGCCAGCCAGGCAGCCAGGCAGCGCTCCATGAACCCTGGATGCATAGAATGCCCATTATGTAGTCTTGCTTGTCTTCAAACACTCTCCCGCGCTTCTTCTGAAACACTTGCAGACGAATGCGTTTCAAGATAATTAGCAAGCCACGTAGGATATGTCATAGTCTCTATCTCTGTCAGGTTTATGTACTTTGTCAGTTCTTATTTTTAATATCCAAATTGAACTGTCTGATTTTATTTTTTCTCGCAAATAATATCAACTCTCAATGCATTGTATTCAGATGTATTATCTAGCCACATAGTTTTTCAAACCTTCAATATAAATCCCTCCTCTTTTTATTTAGATATTTGTGAATATTTACAGATGGACAATTGCCTGTATGTTTTGTTATATGAAGATTAAAATTAAACCTCTTATCTTGTTGTGGTAGTAATAAACCATGGTTTAGACATGTAAGAAAGCTCTGGAAAGAATCCTACAGATTGGGCATTCATTCTTATTTAATTCCTCATGAATTAAACAACTAAATCATACCCATTCATGTGTTTTTAAAGTACATTTATAAATTCATTGTTGTATAAAGCAGTATTGGTCCTTTGGCACATCCGATAGGTATATACAATACCAGTAATGAATCACATGTATAAAATATGAGGAAAGAGTGCCTGGTGTATGTGATCAAATATATTTACATATAAATAATTGTTGACAAAAGTGAAAGTATATTCACAATTGTAAGCATCTTTTTTGCATGCAAATCCATGATTTTTTGAAAACTGTTTAAAAACAGTTGAAAATATCATAGATATGATTTACAGCCATTGGTTTAATTTACTTAACACTAAAAGTGACACTCTCTGAGCTGTTATTTATCAGGAAAAAATTAAAGTAATTTTTAGATCTTATGATCATGCAGTCTCTTTTTTTTTTCTTTCCCGTATCACACACATTTAATGTTATGAAGCTGATGATATTATTGTCTCTGACTCCCATCAGGTGATTTGTTTGATATGCTGCTTCCTATGCTGAGTATCTACAATGAGTATGTGAGGAATCATCATTACAGTCTACAGGTGTTAGCTGAATGCAAGCAGAATCCTGCCTTTAATATGCTACTCAAACAATATGAGACTAAACCAGTTTGTGAATCAAGGTCTCTGGAGACATTCCTGACCTACCCTATGCATCAGGTAAGATCAAAACTCTCTTAACATTTGAGCTATTGTGAGGTGATTGAATCATGTAAGAATCTGTATGGAAGTTATTGAGAATAGTCTCCGACTCTTCAACATCTTTTAAGAGGAACCTTAAATCCCATTTGTTTAATTTTGCGTTTTAAAGACAGACATTCATTCTTTCATTTTTGCATTTTCTTTCTTGTGTAAATGTACACAATTCTTTGTCATGATGTAATGTGTTCCCTAATATTTTGAAGCGCCTTGAGCATTTAATTAAAATGGATAATGGCGCTATATAAATCTCATGTATTATTATTATTATTATTATTATTAATATGAATGATGGCATATTGTGTTATTTTGAAGTCATCAAAATGGTAACAAATTAGCCCAACCTTGTGGGAAATCATTTACAGTGAGAGAAAAGTGGCTCAGTGGTAGAGCAGTGGTCTCATAACAGGAGGTCCTTGGTTCAGTAGTAAGTTGATGTGCTACTGTTCCTATTTAAGGCATGAATCCTCAATACTGAGTCCCTCAGAGAGGACTTTATGTATTTGCATCAGTTCCCTGGTTGCTTACTTACTAGTATTCACATGCTTTCTTAGCACTAAAGTAAAAACAAACCATCAAGATATGGGTATTTGGGACTACAAACATACTCCAAAAACTTTTTTCTTTTCTTTACTCAATCAGTGTTCTTTGGTACTATGTTTTTGAGGCATTATTTCTTACACATACAAATGGATTTTTGCATAATGAATATAAAAATGAATTATACAAATGTATTTGCTGAAAGAACTGAAAAACTAACACTAATTTTAATGCATTTTTAATAATGATGCAGTTCCTTGAAAAGAACATGTCAAAAGGAAAATGAGCTTGCAACATATATTGAATTATAAATTAAATATTCCTCCACACTGTATGGCTATTTTTTATATTGCATTGTGTAATACTTGTCACAGCTTCACTTAACAGATAGATACATTGTAATGTCTCTTGATTAAAATTGAATGAAAATATAACCTTACATTTTTAGAAGGCATATCTTTGGTAAAGAAATTCCAGAACATTTACAGCAATGTGACAATGTGTTCAAATATTTGAGTATGTACAACCAACTTAAGTTAAGAAGGATATGAAATAAAGTTATTCAGCGTTTTACTGTACAACTGGAGTAAATGTCAAAGAAATGAGTTAGATGAAGGCACCAAGATTAGTGTATATATGCACTTTATTGAGAGTCCAAGAGACACCTTGTATTATGAAACCTTTTCTTGTCTCATCTCTTCCTCGTAAATATATGTGAAGTTGACTATTCACAATGAATTGCAGCTGCACTTATCCAAGCATATGAAAACTACAAGCAGTGCATGTAATGGGTGGTTAACTTGATACTGAATTCACAGTTACAACTCTTAGTTACGATAAGTCCATTTAAGCATGCACCATGCAGGGATTATTCACTTTCAACACTGGGTTATTATAGAATCAGGAAAGGATATGTTATTAGCTGTTCTGAGAATTCAATTGCCTATGTTGAAGTGTCAATCAACTATTATGATATTTGTGCTAAGTATACTAAGTACCCATTTTTCTTCAGCTAATCAAGGCTCTGTGAAATATATATTCACCTTGAAAATAGATATCTGTTTCATGAATACATCAATTATCCATTAAATTGTTTGCATCAAAATAATTTCCAGAATATATGTACATGCATATTGCTGGTAGTCTTATATTTTCTTATTTAAATAAATACAGATATAGACAAAATCTTTCTTCATAGATGTAGGTTATATACTAGATAATTGCATATGAGCCTATATTTTGTACTGCAAATTTCTTATCCAGTGGCAGAATCAGCTACCTTGCAGTATTGTTCATAAAGATGTATTTATTTAATGGGGTCATAGTAAATACACTATTCAGTTCCATATTGTTATCCCTTCCGAACAGAAACTAATATGTTTGCATGTAACTTGAATGGTTTCATAATTACTTGTGTTTACACCCAAACAAATATTAATTGACCAGCAGGTGGATCTATTGTGAGGCGGGTTTCATTATTTCCCATGTTAGTCAACATGTAGGCCAAACCCTAAAACTTTACCTACAAAGGCGGTCTTTTGTCTTTATGTTAGTATGAGCACTGGCATATTTGAACATCTGCTGTAAGCTCCAACAGCATCTATCAACATTTTAGAGTGATGATACAATACAATATTTAAAATCTTATACTGCACTGTTTGTTATATTTGTTTAGATAGTTTTGATGTTTGTACTACATGTAGTATATATTTGTATATGCATATTCGTAGCATATTTGTAGCATAAAGTTCAAGTGCCTTGGAGCAGCATGGCTAAAACCAGGGTAAAACCAGGGTACAAACAAAATCATATTAAGATAAGCAAATCTAATTGAAACCCTGCATTTCTATCATTGTTTGTATGCAGAAATTAAATACCCAAATCAGCTAGTATATGCTCCTCTGGATGCTCTGTATACTGACTTGTAAGAGAGGAAATGGAATTGAAGTGTTATTTGTGGCCATGAAAGTTGTTTAGCTTTGAGAATTTCAGGAGCTTAGCATATCTTGTCTCCAAAATGATATGTCAATTAATCTTTCCAGTGCATGCAACTATATGTGTGCAAATGATTGAGGGTATCTTATAACCCATCAGTGATCAGATTCCTGCAGAGCAAAATCTCTCTCTCTCTCTCTCTCTCTCTTTCTCCCACTCTCTCTCTCTCTCCCACTCTCTCTCTCTCTCTCTCTCTCTCTCTTCCTCTCCCTCTCTCTCTCTCTCTCTCTCTCTCTCTATTTCTCTATTTCCCTCTCGATTGAGGCTATCTTTGCCCTCAGTCTATATCAGATTACATATAAACTCGGCCAGGGGTCACTGAACGCTCTAGATATTTCGTTCTAGCTTGAAGTGAATTGACTGAAGTGAATTGATGATGACCTATAGAGATTTGTATAGTCTGTGTTTCCCCATGTCAAGCATGTCTTCAAGAAAATGTATCTACAGCTGCCTGTGCATGCATGCATGCATTGCATCTGTCTACTGTGACATCTTTATTCAGATAGTTATCATAGGCAATGTAGATACAAGCCATTTTTGTGCTGTACCAGGCAAAGACAGTGATACTATTGAAACAACTATATTGAACTGCAAAGATGTTAGAAAAAGAAGTGAATTGATGCAATACTGAATACTGGACTTTTTGTAGACACTGCATGACCACAAATATCAAAGTCAAGATTGACTTCATCAGCATCATGTATTTATGACTTGCAGTTTATTTTGGAGTAGAACTAATCAGAGAGTTTCATACAGGAAGTCACTGGTCTTTTATTGTCAGTAATTATGATGATGATTATTATGAGGTTAATAATAAAGATGGTGATGATAATCTTTAAGACTGTATTACTATAAAAGCTAAATGAGCTGTAGTGTATAGCTTCGACATGGATCTTGTCAAACGTATGAAAGCTTTAGCAACAGAAAATGTTTTAGAGGTTCTTGCGTGATATTTCTGCTCAGCTGTGAAGATATTTATGATCAAGAAATTGAACCATTCCAGAATATTATTTGTTTTCCTTATGCAGGATTGCTTGTCAATGTTTTATGTAAAGGTTATACACTGTATCAAAACATCTTCAATCTGTTTTTCCCATGATTACAGATTTTTTAAAAATTTATTTATTTGTTTTATTTAGACAGGGTAACTCTCTCAGTATAAATACTGTCTTTCTGAGAGGCCCTGTAGACAAAAAATAGTTACAAATACATGAAATAACAAACAGAGTTAAAAGACGTCTACATGATTTTATATATATCAGGGTTATTTGTTTGTTTTGTTTATAGTTATTATATAACCCGATAATATACAACAAAGCAATATTTGTCCAGCTAATACAATATGACTTTATGCTTACCCTATCAAATGGATCAATAATAATATAGGCATATACACATCAGGAATAAACTTTTACATACAAGGGAAAGGACAAATTTTCATGAGAGTGGAATACATTAATAGGAGCCACTCTCACTAATTTTTGACACTTAGTACCAAAAAATGAAATAAAAATAATCACAAACGCAATGTTCTCCAAGATAGATTTGCAAATGAATGTTTTGATTGGGCCTGTCTAAGTCTAACACAAAAAGGGAGTTGGTTCCACAATGCTGCGCCTTCATTAGAAAAAGCTAGTTTACCCATCTTTGTTCGTGACATAATGCTAGTCCAAAATTGGTTGCATTCCGGGTGTTGTGAATCACATCAAAATTGTATGAGGTACTAGGATTGATTTTAAACTAATATATAATTATTATGCTTTGAATTAAAGAAGATGACAGTGTTATAACAAGCACTTTAGTCTCATGGGCGAACTCAAGTTTTATTATTCTTGGGTTGGGTACGTCTCATTATTTTGTAAGAAGAGCCCACAGATATAGAAAGATGACAGAGTCAGAGTGGGCATGGATGTTTTTGCCTTGTAATGATCTGCATTAGGTACTTGAGAATAATAATAAAATGAGGATATGGCAGTGTCTACATTTAGAAATATGCTACCCTTCTTCTGAGTAATGAGAAACTTTAGAAGGGATCTCTGCATGAAAAGGACACTGAATGCCGGAATATGAGTTGTCTCACAATATAAATCTGACATACCATGATATTCCACACAATGGCTAAGAAGGAACCAGCAGGTCGTTTAGCACCTCCAGATTACATATAGCTGTAGTTGTCAAAATATTTGAGAGTAATTCATAGCATTAAACTGTCATGTGGATTGTGTAACTTTAACTCAAACTTGACTGAAAACATGAATATTGCTGGTAGTCTCTACAGAGACATTTGAAAGATGTGAATCTGAATCTGAATGTTGGCATTGATTGAGTGTATTGATGCATGTATTTAGAGGGTGTTATTAGAAACGGATGACATTTGAGGTAGTTTGGTGCAATATAGGATCATCACCTGACTCTCATGCCCTTTG